GGGGGGGGGGCGTCAGTGTGGTCAGGTGGGAGATCACACCAGTGCACAGGGTCAGGAAGGTCAGAGGTCAGGCACTCACCTCCACCATGACTGTGAGGGTGTCAGTGGATGGGCGCATCTTGTGATCCAGTGCAAAAACCCGGTAACGAACTAAGAGTGGAGGAGGAGAGGTAAGAGCCCCTGCGCAGAGGGACAGGGACCCCAGGAGACGCTGGGGACTAAACCCTAAGCAGTCCTCTCGGGTGGTGCCGTCCGTGGGGTCACCTCACACAGAGGACACCAAGTGCAGGCTCTGAGCACCCTGGGAGAGGAAAGCAGAGGCGCTGAGGCAGGGGGCTCACCCCGCTGGCCAGGGTTATAAACAGGCTGGTCAGTCTGCACGAAGATGTGCCCGCGGCGAGAAGAGAACAGCAGGTTGACGCCCTGTTTGTCTGTGGCTTTTGACAGGGAGCTCTTTAGCCACGAAGACTGAGCCACCAGCTGGACGTGGGGGGCTCTACGTAGCTCAAAGAGGCCACAGTTGCTCACATCAGGCAGTGGGACCTGTCAGGAGTAGGGGGGAAGAGACTGTCCAAGACGAAAGGGACTCAGAGCCCAAGACAGGGACACTAAGACCAGTGGGCGGGTCAGCCAATAACGGCGTGTGGCAGTAACCCCAGCACTCGGGCGGCCCGCGGAGGACTGCTGAGCGACCACTTGCAATCCAGGCTACACTGTGAAAGCCTGTTTCCAAACCAAAAATAAACATAAAAGGCAACAGAAGAACCTGGTGGATCACAGCACTCGGGAGGCTGAGGCAGGAGGATTGCTGGGAGTTCAAAGCCAGGCTGTTACATAGCCAGCTCCTGTCTGTGACTAAGCAAACAGGCATAGGGTACAACAGGGAGGCTTAAGAAACAGCAGGGGTGTGGGCACTGGTTACCTCGAGGCTGAGAAGCACAAAACCATTTCCTGAACTGAGCACAAAATCCTTCTTTGGGGTGCAGATGCGACCATTTTGGTTTCTCAGGAACACTGATCCTTTTACTTGCTGTCCTGGAGGGGCATCCTGGAGCTGCAAGCCCACTGACAGAGGAACCCCCAAATTCACCACAGAAGGGGAGAAGAGGAGCAACCTGGGAGAACAGTAGAGGTACTTCAGACC